GTAGGGAAAAAAAGAGTGAGGTAGGAAGCTGCCCAGCCAGGTTGTTGTTAAATATACCAGGAAAACCCTCATTCAGCTCCTTTTTGAAGCCTGCCCCCGCCTCACCCCCAGAGGACAAAAACTTTGTTCAAACTCTCAAATCTATTCTGAGAATTAAGGATATAAATATAGAAGTAAATATCTCTGGCAGAGATGTTAAGTTTGCTTAAAAGACCAAATGAAGATGCTCTTCATCAGATGAGTCTCCTAAAGCATAACTGGATGGGTGATAGAGGTGAGGGAATTTCTGTGGCTTCAGAGTTTTCAGATTAATTATTAATTTACTTCAGGCTGCTACTTACCCAATATCCCTTCTTCTACCAATTTTTATTCTAGCTAAATTCGTTTGCATTGCCTCAGCGAACACGGTTAAAAAATGTAATTTGACCAGCTTCTGTTACATTCAGGGTGGCAATAAAAAACACCATCCTTTCTGGTGAGATGTAAGCGCATGGTACCTGCAGGAGTCGTATTTAAGAGGGAAAAGACTCAACTGGCTTATGTTTTAGGCCCTTGGCCTCTGCCCTTTGCTTTCTCCATTTCTGCTCTGAAGAGTGAGGATGCAGGTCTTAAGCTGCAACAGCCATCCTGCAGGCATCAAATCAAAGCCCCATATTCCATGCTGGAGCAGGAGGATAAAAGTAACCACATTGTTTTGTACACTGACATGAGCATCTAAGCCAACTTTGTACTACTGATGACCAGACTTTTAAAAAATTATTGGTAGGTTTTGTTTCTTTATTATTGAATTATAACTTAAATATAGTAAAATGCAGAAATCTAAAGTACACAGCTTAATTAATTTTATATGCATACAAACATGGACCCACCATCCAGATTGATGCATAGAACATTTCTATCATCCCAGAAGTCTCCTTTGTGCCCTTCCGGTCCACAACTACATCTGCAGCATTGAGTCTATTATTCTGACTTTCAGCATCATTTATCAGTTACCTTTGCCTATTCCTGTGCTTTATATAAGTGATATAATCCAATATAAAATCTTTTGTGTCTAGTCTTTTTTCACTCATCCTAATGCCTGTGAAATCCATCCACACTGTGGTAACAGTAGTGAATTATTTCATTGAATGGAAATGGCCAGTATTCCATTGTAAATATGCCACCATTTATTTATTTACTCTTCTGCTGATGGATAGTAGAGTGACTTTGTGATTGACCTTTTCACTCAATATAATGAACTTAAGATCCATCTGATAAGGAGAAAAATCACAGACTCAGGATGGTATCACTTGCACTAAAGCCCATGATACCAAACCTAGATTTAATACCTAACCTAACTGTAGTTTCAACCTTCCTCAAAAATGTAATCTTAATCAGCCAGTTTGGAATTTTCTGGTCAGTACCAATGAGGTAACCTGTCACGCTGGGCCTCTCCATCCTCCAAAGGAAGAAGTCAGTTGGCATGATAACGTCCTCACCATTTCCTTCCCCCTAAAAGGATGTCCTGGCCCAAAATAACCCTTTCCATTCCTTTGCTAGTGACTTCCTTGCCCCACTCTCCTTTCTAAACTTTCTACTTTGTACCTCTCCTTGGAGCACGCTTCTAATTGCTAGATGGGATGCTACCCAATTCAGGAATCACCTAACAAAGCCAATTATGTCTTCAAATTTACTAGACTGAATTTTTTTTAACACATTGAAGCTGCTCTGAATATCAATAATTTTTTTCTTTTTGGTTGTTCACTAGTATTCCATTATATGATGTATCACAGTTTGTTCCTCCATTCACTCATTGAAGTCCATTTGGTTTGTTTCCAGTTTGGTGCTCTAACAAATAAAACTATTAGAAACATTTATGCATAGGTTTTTGCAGAACCATACATTTTCATTTCTCTAGGATAAATACCCAGGAGTGGGATTGCTGGTTGTAGTTTTTAGCATACATATCCTATACATGTCTTGTTAGACTTTTACACAAGTATTTCATTTCTTCAGAGCCATAATACATGGTATTGTGTTTTTCATTTCTATTTCCAATGGTTCACTGCTATATACAGAAATATGATTGATTTGTGTGTGTGTTGACCTTGTATCCTGTAACCTTGCATAACTCACTGATCAGTGCTAGGAGTTTCTTTTGTAGATTCCTTGAAATTTTTTTTTAACATCTATATTGGAGTATAATTGCTCTACAATGGTTGTTAGTTTCTGCTTTAAAACAAAGTGAATCAGCCATACATATATATATCCCCATATCTCCTCCCTCTTGCGTCTCCCTCCTACCCTCCCTATCCCACCCCTCTAGGTGGTCACAAAGCACTGAGATGATGTCCCTGTGCTATGTGACTCCTTCCCACCAGCTATCTGTTTTACATTTGGTAGTGTATATATGTCCACGCCACTCTCTCACTTCGTCCCAGCTTACCCTTCCCCCTCCCCGTGTCCTCAAGTCCATTCTCTATGTCTGTGTCTCTATTCCTGTCCTGCCCCTAGGTTCTTCAGAACCATATATATATATATTTTTTAGATTCCATATATAAATCCGTATGTGTGAGCATACGGTATTTGTTTTTCTCTTTCTGACTTACTTCACTCTGTATGACAGATTCTAGGTCCATCCATCTCACTACAAATAACTCAATTTCGTTTCTTTCTTTCTCCACAGATAACATTTAAATTGGCATACTCTTTACTGTGGCATAATTACTCTGTGCTCACCCATAATTAACACTGGAATACCAGTGAGTTTCCTGCAAATTCAAGGGCAAAATGGTATCGTAGAAAACAATTTAGAATAAGGTATTAGAAGCTTTTCCCTCAATTCTGAGAACTTATTCTGTCATCTCCTCCTCACTGGAAACTATTCACCAATTTGATCCTGCATCAGTGATTCCTCTACCTGATTGTGCATCAGAATCATCTGTGGACATTGTTTAATGTTCAGGTTCCTGGATTCATCCCCTTGAAATTCCAATTCAGGTGGTCACTGCATTATTAGCTAAGACACTCTCATGCACAGTCCAGCTGGGGAGACATTGCTCTAACAGCCCCTTTCATCTCTGGAATAATACAATTCCTAGATCTCCTTGTGTCATTGTTTCCCAAGAGTAATCCTTACTTGGTGTTTGTGATTATAAAAACCTGATCACTCCTATGAAATGAATTGAAAGGGCAATTCAAGCAATCATTTATTCAATCATTGCTTCCAAAAATATACTATGCTTATCAACTCGACCCTGGATACCATATAATGGCACTTTAGGAACAAAATTAAGTTGGGCACTGGCTCTTCATCTAATTAAGGAAACAAAATAGGTACATAATGGGAGAGATTTACTATTCAGTGTAGCAAATGCTACAATCAAAGTAAACACTGGATTCTGCTACTGTAATGGCAGAGAGGAAAGACTTCCTGGGAAAAGTGATGCATAGATGATCTTTGAAGAGCAAGTGTTAACTTAGTGGGGGGCGGGTAGTGTGGAAAGAAATTTATGGACTGTGAAATGCATGAATTTCAAATCTCTATCCTCCTTCTGTTTACCTTGACCTTAACCCCAAGGCCCTCCAGGACCACGAGGAATTCCTGGGATTCCTGGAGACATTAAGAATTGTTCATCTCCCCCCAAATCTGCCTTTGCAGTGAAGGTGAGTGATCACCTCCCAGCCCTCTCCCAGCCCATTGTCTTCAAGGAAGCCCTGCATAATGACCAGGACCGCTTCAATCTTACCACGGGAGTGTTCACCTGCACCGTACCGGGCGTGTACCACTTTGGCTTTGACATTGAGCTGTTCCAGCATGCTATGAAGTTAGGGCTCATGAAGAATGGCACCCAAGTCCTGGAGAAGGAAGCCCAGGCCAAGGACAATTATAGGCATGTTTCTGGAAATGTCATCTTGCAGCTGACGATGGGAGACAGTCTGGTTGGAATCCAAGCTAGACACAGCAGGGAGTGAGAAAGGACTGACTGAAAGTATGTTCTTTGGGTATTTGCCCTATGGAAATTATACTGGCTAAGGGGTAACAGCACACTTAAATTCCTCAAGTGGTCCTAAATTTCACAGCAAACTTCCCTTCCCCCCTGGATATTTTTCAGTGACCGTTGAATGAATAACATTAAGAATGCCCAATTTACCTATGTGAAAGTAACCCTAAAAAACAGCCAAGATTAATTATCCATTAATTGGTCAACAGTTTCTTATTGAAAGCCCATCAAATTTCATGTATTCTGCTATATCCAAGGAACTTCAGGGAGAGCGTATGTCAGGAAATCAGAGCTGGTGGAGGCTGAGGGAACCAGGAAAGTCCTCATGCCTTTTCCTGATTATGTGTGAACATTTTTCACCAGAGGAAAAAATAGCCTTGATCACAGCCCCCAACACCACTTCAATTTCACAATTTATCGTATAGCTAGGAAAGCAAATATCCCTGAGAGATGAAGAAAATTTGCTTAAAGTCACACTAAGCAGTGAATACAAACTACTAAGTACATATTTTGCATTTGATTCATAGTGCGTACATTGATGATGGTTTGATCAAGTAACGAGGGTACGGATTGAGGGAACAATTTCTGTCGCTTAATACTTTTCAGAAAGAGAAAAACAAATATCGTATACTAATGCATATAGGTAGAATCTAGAAAAATGGTACAGATGAACCAGTTTGCAAGGCAGAAATAGAGACACAGGGCTTCCCTGGTGGCGCAGTGGTTGGGAGTCCGCCTGCCGGTGCAGGGGACGCGGGTTTGTGCCCCGGTCCGGGAAGATCCCACATGCCGCGGAGCTGCTGGGCCCGTGAGCCATGGCCGCTGAGCCTGCGGGTCTGGAGCCTGTGCTCGGCAACGGGAGAGGCCACAACAGTGGGAGGCCTGCGTACTGCAAAAAAAAAAAAAAAAAAAAAAAAAAAGAAATAGAGACACAGATGTAGAGAACAAACATACGGACACCAAGGGGGGAAAGTAGTTGGAGGTTTGGTGGTGGTGGGATGAATTGGGAGATTGGGATTGACATATATATACTAATTTGTATAAAATAGATAACTAATAAGAACCTGCTGTATAAAAAATAAATTAAAAAAAAACTTTTCAGACCCTGCTAGTTGCCTATGCAGTACCCATTCTACCACTCCTTGTTTAATTTATTTCTAACAGAGCTCAAAATTTGGGTTGTCAATGAACCTAGTTAAGGGCAGGATCTTCAGCCTCTGCAAAGCATGGGTGGCATGTGATACCATCTGAAGAATGAAATGTAATCAGGTGGGGCTTCCTGGGTGATTCTTTAAAAGGCAAATCCTCACGTGACTTGTTTCTTTGTATTTTTATCCTTTGCCCTCTGCTCTTCCCTCTTCACCCATCAATCCTCCTCCCCCACCCCAAGAAGATGCAATGCCTGGGGCAGAAGCAGCCATTTTGCAAACTTGAGAACAAAAGACACATATGCTAAGCAGGCTGAGGGAGTAGGATAGAAGCAGATCAGGTCCTTAATAATTTCCTTGCACAGACACACCAGACCTACATATGAGAATAATAACCACTGATTTTATTAAGCCAGTGTAGACTGGTTTCTGTTAGATGTAACCAAATGCAACCCTGATATACTTGTTCTTTTCTTTCACAGACTTGCTCTCTCCTAGAGACTTCACCTACCCCCCACTCCCCTTACTCTTTC